AAAAAAAAAAAAAGATTATTTTTCGATCGTATTTGCGCTTGCGTCAAACTTGACTCTCGTCGGTTCTCTCCGGAAGATGAGAATACCTTGCGTTGGATCGACAACCCTCGGTTTCCCCGGGACGCGAGATTTCGCGGAGGTGAAGGACGCACTGTATATTATTCGATTGTCCGTGATTAGTTATGCTAGTTTCGCATGTCAAATTTTTAATAGTCAAGGCGATGTAATGTTTGAAGATGTTTGTCTTGCTTTTGATAGGGAAAACTGAGATTTTTTTAGTATCAATAAAACTCGAAGAATTGATTGCTTTATTGCATTTAAGAAACATAAAATATAACATAATAAAAAAAAACATAAATAAATTGATTAGAATAATCAATTATCCTGTGATTTAATAATATAAAGATAAAAAATATATTTATTATATATACTTGTTTAACATTTCTAAGATATTGCTTGCAAGAATATTTTGTGTGCCAATATGAAAAAATAAAATATTAAGAGACAGGAGAAAGAATAAAAAGGGAAAAGTTTGATGAAACTTTCTAAATATAACAAAGATTAAAAAATGACATACAAATATCGATATACAGGATTATTTCTTCAAATATTATACATTAGTATTTATGACGACGGTCATAAAATACAATATATATTTCTAAATCAATAAAATAGATAACAAAAATTGGTAACTTATCTAGAATGAAAATGGCAAACGTGTCAGTAGTTTTCAATCAATTATCGGTTTTCCGAGTGTTCGATATTACATTGCAGTAACTAGTTGCATTGCCGTCGTGACGGTGATATACGGTTGCATAGCTGACGTTTTTCTCAAGGAAAAGTACACGCTGACAGAAACTCGAATCTCGAATCGCTACAACTCGCGAGAAAGAGAGACAAAGATAGCCAGAGAGGGGGAGAGGTTGCGATAAAAATATCTGCGCACCCGTCACAACCAAAATATTTTTAGCGAACCGATAATTATATTTTGTTTGTTTTTTTTTTTTTTTTTTTTTTTTTTTTTGGCGCCGGCCCAAAGGGGCGGCAAC